TCTGGCCTAACTGTAAAATCTAAGTGCAGCTAAAATGGTCAAGAACACAAAGCTATAAAAAGCCACCAGCATCAGCAGGAGAGTATCATACAGTATTCAAGATTGGAGATGCTTTACCCCCCCATCGAAAAACCTATTTCGTCAATTAAAACCATCAGCAATTTGGCATCCGTGTTTGTGAATGTAGACAGCGTCACCAGAGCACTTGAAGCAAGCTGGAAAACCTAACAGGCCTATGTATTTACTCAGCTTCACAGGGTAAAGAAAATATACAAATTTCTGGAAGAAAAATGTAAAGCTTTCCTCAGATTTGATGAGATTGTAGACTTTCAATTGTCTTAAATATTCACTCAAGTGATCATGGTCCAATTATTAAAGTCAAACAGCAGCACGTCCTTACCTTGGGGAGAGGCCTCCATGGGAACAGTTGGTGGGAGATGTTAGAGGACTTGACCTACTGCTTGAGTGCCGGGAAGGGGTTCGGCCCATGGTATTGCTTGGCGATCCCTGAAATCAGAATCAAACCATTAGAAGACAATAGCTAGACACCCGTACCTTCCCACCGGCTTCAACCCGTCTCAAATTACACAGCAAACGACCTTGAAAACATCTTTAAAAAGGAGAACTATGGGGTCAGGGCTTTTCCCCATAGTTCTCCTTAGGGTAACAGGAGGACACAAACTAGCGTCCTCCCGTCACCCAAAGCTCAGTATATAGGGAGCTACATCTCGTTATATACTGAGACGGCCCAGCTGAAGCGGATCCCGACAATTATGTCTGGATCCGCCCAGCTGCGTGAGTGACAGCTGGCTCTGCCTATGTAGAGGCAGAGCCAGCTGTACCCACCTCCTCCCCCGTCCATTCCGCCAGTCAGCGCTGCAGGATCGGAGCGGGGAGGGGGGGAATCCAGTCCCTCCCCGTCACGGCTCTCTGCAGTGACAGGATCGAGAAGTGAGCGAGCGTCGGTATGTGTTCGCTCACCTTCCGATCTACTGAGCCGACCTGTGACAGTCTCATTGTCACAGGCCGGCTAGAACTATGAGGATGAGTGAAAAGCACCCCCCCTCAGTTTTCCTTTAGGCAACAACATCCCTCTAACCAGGCCTATGCATGTGCTAAACCATCCATGGCACCTTTCTATTTATCTAATGTTAACAGAGGGTCCTAAGGCACCAAAGGTCATGTGACCTTCTACACTGATGGCCGTCATCGTCAATGCTGCGGAGCAGGTTTGAAAATCTGATAGAATCACATTTGGGGAAGCACGTGAATTGAATGCGAAGGTCAATAAACTTGTACAGTTTAGAAGTGATGCCATATGGTTTTTTTAGATCTATAATGTACAGATCAGAATGCTGGAAAACCCCCCGCTGTAAGACAGGACGAGCCAATCGTTACCATTTCACAAATCGGGATAAAAAACAAACGGACGTGATGTCTCACCACGCTGCTGTTGCTGGAGTTCTTCAGATGATTGTGGAGTAGTTTGGTTGCTCCATCCTGGAATGTTTTCGGCAAAGCACCCAGTAACATGGTGAACTCCGGCGTGTTCAGCTCAAACAAAGAGATCAGGACGATCTGTGCCGCCTGCAATAAGACAACGTGTTGTTAGCCGGAGAGAGGCCGGTTGTACACGTTCAATAATTGCGCAAACCAATCCCAACAATTCCACATTCCGAATGACATCCAAAAGGCAAGAGATACAAACCTGGCACAGCGGGGCCCTATATGTGCCAGCGATGCAGACAGAGCTCTATACCAGCACCTGGCCCAATAACTAGGAGTTCCTGGAGATTTGGTGACCGGTGTGATGGACCACGGGAACGGAAGCAACAACAGGGCACTTTCCAGCATTTGTGAGTGAGAAGTGAAACGGACAAAGGCAGGCGGGTGAGTAGCGGGCACATGCAGTGGTCACTAGCACACAATCAAGACCTCAAAAGCACAGCAAGGGGTTAATTCAAAGACTGGTTAATGAGCCCTGAGCACGGGAGGCAAGCCAGCACCGTCCTTCCTCTGATAATGTCAGGTAGCAGATAGGTTAGTCGATGAGAGAGCCCTCCGCACACCTTACAGCAGTCCCAGCCAACAAGTACGATGGTGCTTGTAGTAACAACCACGGATGGCGCCGTGCACATACAGAGCGAAGAAGCAGGTCACCAGCACTCAATAATTTAAATATGTCCTTTTTTATTGGACAAAGATGTCACAATGATCAGAGTAGCCGACGTTTCCGGGCCGCGCAGGGTCCCTTCCTCAAGGCAGAAAGATGTGACCACATCACATCTTTCTGCCTTGAGGAAAGGACCCTGCGCGGCCCCGAAACGTCGGCTTCTCCTTGGCTCTGATCATTGTGACATCTTTGTCCAATAAAAACGGACACATTCGTTTAAATTGAGTGCTGGTGACCTGCTTCTTCGCTAGGTAGCAGATATGAGCGCTGTGCGGAGTTAGAATGGCATGCAGAATTCAGGAGCCAGTCACTCCATCAAACCCGGCGTGCCAACGTATGCCCAACAGAAATGTTAGTTTGACTTAATACATTGATTTGGTGATGCGGTCAGGAGTCTCGTTGAGCAACGGGAAGTGTCAATTTTAGTGACAGGTCCACTTTTGAAGCCTATGTTTTTGCCATGTATGTGAATCTTGCAGTAGCCGGCTGTGTTATGTGACATGGAGCTCATCCGTCGCTATTATTTCTGGGATGATGCAGAGCAGAAAGCTGGTCCGGTGTAACGTGCCCAGCGTGTGCTCAATCTATTTTTAGAATTTGCAGATTAATTATTAGCTCAGATTCTTCATCAGGTCAGGACAGGAACAAACGAGATGAGAGAAATGATTAAGCGCATGGAAACTGGTCACCGTGGTTACCTGAAAATACTATAATTATGACCGTGCCCCTGGGAAAGGACGCCATTTCTACGTACAGATAAAACGCAAGCAGTGTGGTGTTACTAACAAACAGGACAACATGTACAGGACATTGATACAGAGATCAGCAGACTGACCCGAAGACACGACGACCACAAGAGAAAAACACGGCAAAGTGTTATGTCCAAACTATTTTAGCTAAGGACACAATTGCAGTCCCTCTCCATTGTACATAAGAGTATTAAAGCTGAACTCCGGGATGAGCAACTATTGTCCCCATACAAGAGTTATGTGTATCCTTCCTTGAATGTTGGTGAGCTCTGCGTATTTCTTCCAGATCTGGTCTTGTCTCCGCCCCCTCCTGTAATAAAGACCGGTCACTGCTACTCTCTCTCCTTGTGCAGGGTGACTGGTCTAGTCTACGCATCCTCTTGTAATAAAGACCACTCACTGAGGCTCCCTCTTTGTGCAGGGTGACTGGTCTAGTCTCCGCCCCCTCCTGTAATAAAGACCACTCACTGCTGCTCTCTCTCCTTGTGCAGGGTGACTGATCTCGTCTCCACCCCCTTCTGTAGAGGGTGGGGCCTGCTGCATACCTCCCACACCTCCGTTCTCTGCACAGACTATGTGCAGCACAGTGATGACGACACTGCTACTTACAAGGCAATATCTCGCAGAGGCATTTGGTGTACACAAAGTGGATTTATATGATTTGTGACTAATAAGGATTATATTTATATGAAAGTTTTTGTGCCCGGAGTTCAGCTTTAAACAGACCGTTTGCCTGTTAGACTGGTTTCTAGTGATGAATGTAGAGAATTACTAAACTAGCTTCTACCTAGAAACCAAAATCACACTGAACAATGCGATGAAGTAATTGAATATCCCGGGTCCTTAAGGGCAACATAATGGCCAAACTCTCATTTCTGAAATAGATTGTCACTGGCATAGTCATCATCTGACAGGAAGTCTGAGTCTCTGAGGGGTAACTACTCTCTAAGTCTAATCTTCAGCAGATCATGTTCTTGGCCTCTGGGGTTCTTGTGGTGCTGCCCTATAAGGACTCTTACAGGACTACACACTGAGCCCTCGTTGACACCTGAACGTTTTGTAGCGCGTTCTACGCTCGACGAACGCTCTACAAAACGCTCAAAAATATAAATCCCATTGTATTCAATGGGTCTCGTTCCCACCTTGGCGTATTTCCGCCCGTCCCTAACGTGCTACAAAACGGCCCACGCCTGAAAAGGTACAGGTACTACTTTGGGCCGTTTTGTTGCGCGTTTCCATTGGGATACAGCCAAGAAGCCTTCGGAAACGCGTGTTTACAGCGAATCGCGGTAAAAAAACGCGCGACAGACGCGCATATGCAATACGCCTAGGTGTGAACGAGACCTAATAGATTGCAACGAGGAGAGGACAAGCTGGAGCGTCTACCTCGAGTCTCAGCTAACAATATGTAAGGTTTACATCGATTGCAGGATGGAAAATTGTTCTTGAACGGAATCAATTGGTGAATGTGGTCTTCACTGGAAAAACTCCATTCATTGCAAAATCGAATGTTAAAACCAAAACACATTTTTCAATGAAATTCATTAAGCCTTTAATGACGTTATTGAACGTTCTCATGTTGGTATGAAATGCTACTAGTGTATGGCCGGCTTTAAAGGAGAACTATGAGGTTAGGGGCTTTTCCCCATAGTTCTCCTTAGGGTAACAGGAGGACACAAACCTGCGTCCTCCCGTCACCCTAAACTCAGTATATAGGGAGCTACAGCTCGCTGTATACTGAGACGCCGCAGCCGGAACGGATCCCGACAATTCTGTCTGCTGCGTGACAGCTGGCTCTGCCTATCTAGAGGCAGAGCCAGCTGTACCCGCCCCCCTCAGCGCTGGAGGATCGGACAGGGGAGGTGGGAATCCCTTCAGGGAGCTGTGAGTGACAGTCACGGCTCTCTGCAGGAAGATGATCGAGAAGTGAGCGAGCGCCGGTATGTGTTCGCTCACTTCCCGATCTACTGAGCCGACCTGTGACAGTCTCATTGTCACAGGCCGGCTCAGATTATGAGGCTGAGTGAAAATCACCTCACCTCATAGTTCTCCTTTAACCTCACTTGTGGCCTTCAAGGGACATAAATGCAAACTCAGCAGAGGTTCTAACCCGCCCTATACCAACAACAACAAAATAGTTTTGGATCAAGTACCAAAATGGAAAATAGATTTTCACAGGTAACAGTAAAACGTTCCTTCTGTTATATAATAATACATCTTTGTGTTTATTTTAACCCGACATGAGTTACAGAATGTGGATGGGGGGTGGGGATCTGATTAATACACGCATTGCACACACATGACATCAGTGCAGTTCCGTGGTTAGTGCACACACACGGGTGTCTTCCATCTACCTGTTTACATCTATCTTCCAGGCTCCCGTCAGGCCCGGAGGATGCTGGGCTGGCTCTGGCTGAAAGGTCATCGGACACCCAGCCATGCAGGTTCTGGGTTTCATGAGGCATTTTGGGAGGAAGAACCAATGATTAGAAGCATCTGACACGGCTCACACAAAGCAAACAGGGACAACAAGCTGAACAACACAGATCATCACATCAACTGAACCCAGGACAAGTCTCTGCACCCTCATTGAAGGCCTAACAGGAGAAGGGCCAGTGCTAGGCGGAATCATCTGCAGAGTTTGTCCCGGCAGAGACAAATCGTGACCGCAACCATCAGATCACTGTGAAGGTTCTTCAGGAAACCGTAAAACTATATCCTAAAGTCAGGAAATCCACTCTGTTCCGAGGTTTATGTTATGCAGCAAGCCTTGGGAACCCCATATACATGCGTAGCTGTGTCTTGTCAAGTTTAGGAGCAATGCCTGAGAAACGGCAAAGGAGCCTGCAGTGGACGGAGCCGAGAATACCAGCCCTGTGCAAGGATCAAGGTGTTCCCAGAACATCAGATTTCTGGCAATAATGCAAAACTGAACACGGGCCTGAAGTACCGGCCATGCATGGAGGAACATCAGAACCTGTGGACTAGCGTGTCCTCTCTGCGTATTTCACGATTGTGTTTTGGATATGGATAGGGCTGCAGCTAACGATTATTTTCATAATCGATTAGTTGGCCGATTATTAAGTTCGATTAATCGGATAAAATAAAAAAAAAAAGGCTCCAGTGATTGACGACTAGTTTGTATTGAGATTGTAGTCCATCACGGGAGCAAGCTTGGCGCGGTGGAAGTAAAAAAAAAGTGTGGTGTGCAATATAGTACATTATACAGCGGCGCAGTGCAGAATACCAGCAGCTATAGAGGAATGTAGCAATAGTACATTATACTATAATGTACTATTGCTGGGATTTGTAGTCCTCTGTAGCTGGCATTATTCTGCATTGCGCTGTATATAATGTATTATTGCTGGGATTTGTAGTCCTCTATAGCTGGTGGTATTCTCCATTGCGCTGTATAATGATTTATACTGCGCAATGCAGATTACCACTGACCAGTTATAGAGGAACAAATCCCAGCAAAAATACATTATACAGCGCAATGGAGAATACCACCAGCTATAGAGGAACAGCAAGTCCCAGCAATAATACATTATACCGGGTGTTTAATATATTATTGCTGGGATTTGTTGTTCCTCTATAGCTGGTGGTATTCTACAGTGTGCCGTTTTTTTTTTAAAAACAGGAAACATTAAAACAGGTCCCCCTTA